GCCCAACTACACACCCACAGGCCCAAGAGGAGGAGACATACCCACGTGGGTAGCACCACGTGGGCCAATGAGAGACTTACATGTGCAGATACATGTCAATACTTGGGACTATAAATACCCCCCAACCACCTCCGAAGAAGGTAATTAATCTCTACGTTTCTCTCTCTGCAATTACTTTTTGAGAGTATCTCTCTCTAGAACACTGAGTATTGCTGACTTGAGCGTCGGAGTGTTTTCCCCGAGGAAACAACCTCGGGATTTTCAGGTGTAGAAGCAGCTGAGGACTTCAACAGTATTGGATTGTGAAGCTGCCGAAACAGCTTCAAATGCTAAGTTACGCTGAAAATCTTACAGGAATGTAAATAGCAAGCCATATAAATGTCCAAAAATACCCTTTTACGGTGTTACTTTTACCGGGTTTTTTTGTCTTTTCATGCAAATTACCCAAGGCATAAGGGTTATTATCCTCAGACCATTCATTTGTTTTTTGCTTTTTTTATTTTTTATTTTTTTTAACGGGTTAAAAGGGCAAAAGTGAATTAGACAAAAAGACGAAAAGACCAAAACCCTGAGCTGAAAACCGTAAGAGCAAAAACAAAATTTCAAGTTATCTTGCCCTTTTCTATGCCAAATCGTCTGCAACCCTAACCCTAAAGAATTTCACTTTTCAGGTGAAATTAAAGATGGATGTTGTTCCATCGGCGCTGGCGAAAGAGATATTCCTTCTTATGCATCATTCGGAACTCTCCGATCCGAGGGAAGCTCAAAGCTACTGTAAAGCGATGATATTTAAGACTGATGGCCTTCGCAGGGTGAAGTCGGAACAGCTGTTGAGGGACGTGAAGTTGAGGAAAGTCTACAAGCATCTACTGGAGGAGGCTGAGGAGTGGAGGAAGAAGGTGGAAGAACTCGAGAAAGGGTTCAAAGAACTCAAAATGGAATCATTGCGCCATTCATTACGACGCAAACTATATTTCAATGGGCTGCCATCGTTAGTGCCAATTTCCCTTTTTTTTTTTATGTTGTTTATTTTTAATAATTTATATGATTTCTGAAAATTTATTTATTGACTGTCAACTAATATATTTCTCTTCGTTGTTAGTGAATGGCAAACAGATCACATTAAAAAAAACACAATCGTGTGCACAATCACGAACACAGTGAGCAGAAGGTATGAAATATTGAAATTCCAATTTGTACTTTTTTCCATTTTTTTTCTTTTGTTTATTTTCTGTCAAACTATTAGATTTCTAATATGCATATGCATTTGTTGATCATGAACTAATTTATCTCTGTTAATTGGTAGTCTTCCATATTTAGATGATCCGAATGATGATGCTGATGATGATGCTGAGGATGAAGAAGTGGATGAGGATGAGTTTGAGGATGAGGATGATAGGGATGAGAATGACTTGAAGTATCAAATCAAGTATTTGAGTAAGAGGATTATTTGGATGAAGTTGGAGGTGAAATATCTGGAACCTTACCTCCGATCCACCCAAGAGATGTTAGTGTCTTTTTCCTCTATTTGTTTATCTTTTAACAATTTATTAGCTATGATAGTTTTGCTATAATCTTCCCTTGGCCAGAGTGGCCAGAGTTTTGCCCTTGGCCAGCGTGGCCAGAGTTTTGCCATAACCCTCCCTTGACCAGGTTTTAACCATGATTAACTTAGAAACCCTTTTTGTATTGAACAACAGCATACATGCGTTTGGGAAAACATGGCTTCTATATTACATAGAAGATTTTGGAAACAGTGCAATTAAATTTAGAAAACTACAGTTTAGGTCAAATTGTCAAAGATATAGTAAAAGAGGTAGCTATAAACTTGTGCCATTAGAATATAGGCACCAGATAAGATCAGAAAAGAGTTGCATCAGTTCATAAGCATGGTTTAGTATCTCAATGTTATAAGCATAGCATAACATGTTGCCATTTAACCAGAAAATCTGGCATGCATGTCCGGCTATCGCATGTAGAATATAAAATTAGCATCTGCATGTTATCATATTTCAATTTCATGTTGAATTTGGTCTTTATGCTTATTTATATATCTCTAAACTATAAATTGCTTTAACTCAATCAAGATCACCATCTTTATGGCAAAAAAAGAAAAATCAAGTTCATCTCAAAATTCAATTAGGATATGTTTTGGAACTTGAATTTGTATTTGAGGGATGTATTATAATACATGTATCTCCAAATTCACTATTTGAATTAAAATAACAACAATGAATTTGATGTTAAATTTGTTGATTGAGGCATTTTTACAAACACTTTCAAGACAATGCCTTTGCAACTTTTCCTAACATGCCCAAGCCATAAAGCTTTCACCCGATCCACTAATAAACAGGAAGTAGAAAATCACTAGTACCTCTAGCATCACCCACCAAAAGAACAAATATAAATCTCAAGGAAAATTCTATTGGTCAAATTATTTGGAGAAGAAGCGTATATTCCATTTAAACAAACAAAACTTACCCAATATGAACCCAGGGAAAAGGAAACCAAAAATCAAAATCTATTTTTCTGGGAGAAGATTTGTAATATTTCAATATGAATCAAGATTTTTGTGAAATTAAGGGGATTCCTCCCAAGTATAGAAAGAGACAAGAAAACAAGATCTTTGGAGGGAACAATGGAGGATTGATGATAAATTGTTTTCCATCTTGATGCAGGGAAGGTAGGGGTAGAACAAACAGAAACTAAGAACTTCGTAAAATTAAAGATGGAACCAATAAAACTTAGGTCTGCAACCTCAAGTTTATTCTCAAACTAAAATATCATAACAAAAACTGTTCTTAAAACCTAAGAAAAATAACTATATATACTAACAATAGCTAAGAATCCTAATTCAATTCTAATTTGAACTTCTAATAAGTATTGAACTTCTAATAAACTAATAATTCTCATCCTAATTAAAAATGACTTTCCTAAAATTAAACTTAGACTCCAAATAAAACTCAAACTTAATGCAAAACAAACAGCCCTAAAACTAATCATTAAAAAGAGCTCTATGCTCCTGCATCACATCTCTATACCAGAGATTG